GCCCTCTTCATTTCAGGCCTGGCTGGTAACCTGGCCTCTTGCTCCACTAAAGCCATGCCTGTCTCACTGATGCCAGAGGGATCATTCTAAAATGCAAATCTGATTCGGTCCCAGCCCTGTTCAGAATCTTTCAGCAGCTTCCTATTCTGCAAGGCACAGGTCTGGTCCCTGCTGACTTCTCCAGTTCACTACCTGTTCACCCTTAAACTCAATATGCCATCTCTCACATCCAGCCTGTACACATGCTGCTTCTTCCACACCATTAGCTCCCTTAACACACACACACACACACACACACACGCATGCACACACACACACACACACACACACACACACACACCTTTTTTCTCTCTCCCATGTGCACTCACAAATACTTTCGTTTTGTTTTTTCATAAGGGATGAGACCATGCATATTGCTCTGGAACTTATTTTTGTCACCTACCATGTATTGGCAAACTTTCCATGCCAATGAGAGCTCCACCTTGTATTTCTTACAAATGGCTTCTTTGTATTCCTTACTAGGGATATATGTCATTTATTTAACCACACCTCTATTGATGGACACAGGCATCTAGATTGTTTTTCACCATTATAAACACTGCTGCAGCACATATCCCTGTACATACATCTTTGTGCATATGTCCTAGCATTTGTGTCATGAGGGACCCAGGTAATTCCTGGAAGTGGAATTGCTGGGTCAAAAGTATGTGCATTTTACATATCAACAGAACTGCCAGCTTACCCTCCAGGATGTATCCATTTACACAACCACCAATAATGTATAAAACTAGTGCATAAAAGCACCCGTTTCTCAGAATCATCAACACTAGATATTATCAATCTTTAAATTTTTGCTCATCTAATTTTTTTGCCTTAAATTTGTATTTTTCTGATTACTAGTAAGACTGAGCATCTTTTTATGTGTTTTTTTTTTATTGGTCATGAACTGTTTATTCCCTTTACCAGTCTTGTTCTGAGTGTGTGTTTTCTTCTTATTGATTTGTATCCTTCTCTATTTTCCCTACCTTGTCAATTCCTACCAGACATTCAAGACTAGGCCAGGCACCATCTTCTCCAAAAAGTCTTCTCCAATTCTCTGACCGCTCCCTGCTCCAACCCCCTCCCCCACCACCAAGTTAAGCTCCCAACTCTGCCCTCTGTGACCTTGCTGTGTGTTTATCTCCTCCACAAGGCCATGGGCACTTGGGTCTGTTACCTCCATTTCCCAAGCTCATATTAGTGTGCCCTGAAGAGTAAAGAGGTGCACAATAAAAGTATGAAAGAATGAGCAAACGATGGTAAACAGGATTACTTTTAGGCTTATTTCCTTTATCCTATTCCTTGAGAAAACAATACAGAACAAAATAGCCCCTTTTGTTCTATTTCATAACCAAAATGTGAATTTAGCACAGTTCCCTTCACATAAAGAGCTTCAGCTCTTCCCTTTGTTTGAATTTTTTCTGGGCTTCTTTTTGAAAGTTAAACTCCCTGGGGTCATAGGATCCTAGTCTCAATATCTGAAGCTGCTCTATTATAGCTCTCTTCCTCCTAGTCCCTGAAACACACCCTCATTTCCCCACCTCACACCTCTGCCTCCTTATCTCCCTGACATACCTGTGCTCCTGACACACAGCAGGTCATGTGTCCAAGAAAGGCCAGAAATGATGGTATGGCCAAAATAATGTTTTATTGAACCTGGAATGTCAAATAAAGGCTTAGGACATTTTAACCAATTTGTTAGTTTGCAAATGCTACATTTATTATCAGAGGCAGACCAAAGCTTCAGACAAAGGAATGCCACATCCCGCCACATTATCATAACCTGGATCAGAGAACATGGAGCCAAGAAAATTAAACTCAACTCTCAGTAATCAAGCCATGGGTAATGACCTTGAGATTCTGGATCTGAAACCCATGAGAAAGACCCTGAACGTGGGCCTTTTGCTCAACCTCAAAAGAAGTTAGATCTGAAACCAAATATGTAGGATCAAGACAAATAATTAGGTTTTCATTTTTTAACATTTATTTAAAGCAACCATTCATTTTGATTTTACCCTGAATAAGATCTTTCATCTGTAGCAGTAGCCAAGCTATACTTCAGTTCTGACTGCATCTAGTGATAATCTTATCGGCTAATATATGTTGAGTGTTTTCTATGAGGCTGGCACCGTGCTAAGTGCCCATCTCATTTAACAGATAGGGACTGGTCATTTCTCAACAGAAATGTAAAGCACTAATGACCAGGAACATTTACTGTTCAGCTCTGCTAATGTACACAAGCATCTGTTTCCAACCCATGTCTACAGACGAGGAGGAGCCTCCAGCTTGTCAGAGATGGCTTCTTAGAGGAAACGTACACTGCAACTTCTCCGACTCAGGTAAATTCACACGTTCCAACCTGTTGGCCTATAAACTGGGATTTGAAGGACATTTTCTCACTTCTGGGAGACTAGGCGGAGGAGCAAGTCACTGTCATTAATCATAAGAAAAGGTTGAAATTAAAACTCTCATGTTTCACAAGTGTTCATAAACTGCTTACAGCTTAATTATTTTCAAGGAAGCAAACAGACGTTCCAGACTCACTCGGAGGGAGGCCTGGCAAGTTTACTCTCATCTCTGAAGCCTTCCTTTTCACCTGGGCAGACTCAAGAGAGGGGCCTGGCACAGCCTCTAAAGACAGCCAGCCCTGAAGAAGTGGTTCTGGCAGGGGAAGGGAGCGGGGAGGCTAACTGAGGAACTCCCACCCCGCCTTCAGACTTCAAAGGGAGCAACCAGACCCTCCCTGAAAGGGCGAGGCAGCCGGTCCTGCTGGGGGCCGCTCGAGATCTTCCGACAGCCCAGCTTGAGCGGGAGGGAGCCGGCTGGGAGGCCTGGGTGGGATGGCAGGAGGGAAACTGAGCCGAGGCCCGAGAGAGGGCGGGCGTGGGGCCAGCCAGAGCCTTCTAAAGAAGCCCTGAGGATTCTTGGCGGCCCGAGGCTGGAAGGCGGCCGAGTTCTCTTAGAGAGGCAGGGAAGGAGGGAGGGAGAGAAAGAGAAGAAAACAAAAAACTTCGTCTGAGCATGATTCCTGGCGGTGGCGCTTTCGCCAGTGACTCTGCAGCGGCTTCGGGAGAAAGCCCGCCGGACGGGGACAGAGAGAGAGCAGAGCGGAGGAAGAGCAGTCAGAAGCCGGTCCACGGCGGGGCGGGGGCTTGGAATGTCCCGAGGGTGGGGGGGACGACTCTTCAATAATTGGTTCGAAGACAATTGGCTGTCCATATGGAAAAGATAAAGTAGATCCCTATCTTAGAGCAGGCCTGCAAATAAGTTCCAGATGAACTAAAGACCTACAGGGAACCAGCGAAAACTACCTCGGGGTTTTTGGAAGAAGACAGAAGACAGCTTTATGATGCGGGGAGAGGGGAAGATTTCTTTAACAAGGTATAACACGTGCAAAACAGAAGGAAAAGATGGATCACTTTGTCTACATAAATAGAAAAATGGGCTAAGGGTATGAACAGGCAATTCTGAAAGGTCAGTAACAAAAGCAAATCTAAATCAATTTCACTTACGATCATAACTGGGAGTTACAACCAGGAGATCCCACTGTGCAACCATGGGATTGACAAAAATGAAGATCTGATAACCCAAGGGTGGATGCTGATGTAGGAAAAAGAAAACTCTATTGCTGATAAGAGTGTAAACTGGTGCAACCCTCTAGGAGAAAATAGGTGAAACCTTGTGAAATGGAAGATGCACATGCCCATGGCAGAGAGAGGTATTTTCCTTCATGTTCACAAGTGAACAAGTCCTGTACTCCTTCCAGGTAATAGGGAATAAGTGGAAACAATCAAATCGCCCTGTGTGGAAACAGAACAAACTGGTTTTATTCATCTGATAAATACAATAAAGCAGTTAAAAGGAATTAAATAAGCTTATATATATCAACATTGCTAAATCACAAAAATCTAATGTAGGGTGAAAAAAACAGATTACCCAAGGATATTGCACTCTGATACCATTTATATACAATTTCAAAATGAAATATATAGTAAAAATACAAATCGTGGTTGTATGTTTAAAACTTTTTGTAATTTTAAATAAAATAGAAACCACAATGAAATACTATTTTACATGCATTAAGATGGCTATTATTAAAAAAATAAAAAGCAGAAAATAACTAGTATTGGCAAGGACGTGGAAAAATTGGAACACTTGTGCATTGCTGGTGGGAATATAAAATGGTGCAGAACTATGGAAAATGGTATGGCGTTTCCTCAAAAAATTAAACTTGAAATTACCATGTTATTCAGCAGTTTCACTTCTGTGTATATACACTGAAGAATTGAAAGCAGGGACTCAGATATTTGTACACCCATGTTCATAGCAGAATTATTTACAATAGCTAACATGTGGAAGCAACCCCAGTGTCCATCGACAGATGAATGGATAAATGCAAAATGTGGTATATACACACAGTGGAATATTATACAGCCTTAAAAAGGAATGAAATTCTGACACATGCTACAACATGGAGTAACCCTGAAGACATTATGCTAAGTGAAATAAGCCAGATACAAAAGGACAAATACTGCATAATTCCACTTAGATACCTAGAGTAGTCAAAATCATAGAGACAGAAAGTAGAATGGTGATGGGGGAGTTATTGTTTAATGGGTACAGAGTTTCAGTTTGGGAAGATGACAAAATTCTGGACATGATTGTAGTGGTGGTTGCAGAATAATGTAAATTACTTTATGCCACAGAATTATACACTTGAAATGATTAAAATGGTAAATGTATTTAATTTAAAAATAAAAACGTAAAAGAAGAAAATTGGCTTGAATCCAGCCTCTCCATCTAGCAGAACTGCTTACTATCCAGACAGCATAGCTGACGCCACACACCTGGGCCGCCCCTCCCCTCGCCTCCCTACACCAGGGTCCCTACTCTGCGGCCCTGCTAGTCTCACCGCGCAGGCGCGGAGCTGAGTTGGGTGGCAGGAGGGGGCGTGGCCTCACTCTGCGCCTGTGCCGAATTCCCGCTGCAAGTGTTGTGGGGGAAATGATGCCCAGGTTGGGCATCCTGGCCCGCTGGCCCCGGGGAGGCCTGTACTGCACACGCGCAGACCGAGCACCCGCGTCAAAAGACGAAGAGAACGAGCGCTCCCCAGGTCCTGCGCGTCCGGCTGCCAGGCTTTCGTCTGTGCAGTGACGCTCGCCGAGCCGCGCTGGCGCGCCCACGTCTGAAGAGCGATGCCCCGGGAGATCATCACCCTGCAGCTGGGCCAGTGCGGCAACCAGAGTGAGCGAGCGTGCACCGGGCCCCTCCAGTCTCCGGTTCTGCCCCTTCTGTCCCACCCGAGTGCTTGGCATCCTCCAGTCGCCCAGTCCTCCCTGCCCTACTGTGCATGATGAACGAGCCCCCAGACCCAGAGCTTCGCCTTCAGTTCTGGTCTGTGACCGCTCCCAGACCAGACGTCTTGGATCCAGCCTCTGAGTGTGACAGCCTCTGAACCTAACCGTGGGCTCTTGAGGCCTTATAACTCTAGCCCACTCACGCATGTCTCCCTATCCCTCAGTTGGGTTCGAGTTCTGGAAACAACTGTGTGCTGAGCATGGTATCAGCCCCGAGGGCATCGTGGAGGAATTTGCCACCGAAGGCACTGACCGCAAGGACGTCTTTTTCTACCAGGTGCTCCCAGCGACTTGGCCAGGGGGCCTGAAGGGATGGGCAGTGGCCTTGGGAAACCCCGCTAGGCAGAGAAGCTAGGGCTGCTGGCTTGAGGAGGGAGGGCAAGCAGGAGCCTTAGCTGAGTGGGCCCCCTGGATTGCCCTTGACAGGCAGACGATGAGCACTACATCCCCAGGGCTGTGTTGCTGGACCTGGAGCCCCGGGTGATCCACTCCATCCTCAACTCCCCCTATGCCAAGCTCTACAACCCAGAGAACATCTACCTGTCGGAGCATGGAGGAGGAGCTGGCAACAACTGGGCCAGCGGATTCTCTCAGGTATTCAGGTGGCCATCCCAAAGACCCTTGATAGTCTCTCTCCTGGGCAAGGCAGGCTCAAGCAGCCTGGGGATCTGACCAGACAAGATTAACAATAAATAAGACACTAAGGAATACCCTGACAAGAGGGACAGCCAGGAAGAGGTTTATGCAAACTATGCAAATCATTTGCATAGTAGCTCTTCTGGGTTGAGGGCCACAACTGAGGCTCCGCTTGAGGGTGGCAGCAGTGTCCCAGGGTAGAGTTCTTGGTGCTGAAAAGAGATGCTCTCCAGAGCCTTCATCCTGACCCTCCTTCCCCATGTCTCTATAAAGGGTGAGAAAATCCATGAAGACATTTTTGACATCATAGACAGAGAAGCAGATGGAAGTGACAGCCTAGAGGTGAGGTTCTGCCCCACTGAGGAAAAAACAAAAAGGCTGAAAAGTGCTGGGGGAAGGTCAGGAGGTAGCCTGAATAGGTGGTGTGATGGGGGCAATTCAATTCAAAACTCATTTATTGAGCATCAGATGTGAGATATTGAGGTAAATAAGGTCCACTCTTTGACCTCAAAGGGATCCTAATCTGGATGGCGTCAACTTCTTCGGCATGAGTCCTCCTTCCCATGGAGCCTCAGGGATGGACACAGAGGAAGCCTTGAGACATGAGTGTGTTGGGAGTGGGGAATGAGACAAACCTGAAGCCTCTCCTCAGGTCCCTCTCCCCATCCCTCCCCATGCAGGGCTTTGTGCTGTGTCACTCCATTGCTGGGGGGACGGGTTCTGGCCTGGGCTCCTACCTCCTGGAGCGACTAAATGACAGGTAAGCCTTTGTTTGGGAGAGAGGGCATTAGTCCTGGTTCCCTGGATAATGTCTTTCCTTTTTGTCACTTTTCTTTTTCTGGGGCTGGAAGGCCTGCTGCAAGCCCTTTGAGTCATAGGTAGGAACAGAGCCTGGCCACCCAGGGAACATCTTGAAGCAGTAATTCCTGGGAGGGAGGTTTGCCTAGGGAGAAGAGGGGACCCACACATTTTGATGCTTCAGGCTTATCCTTTTTGGCTCCTGGGTTCTGAAGACAGTTCTGCCCTCACCCCTTTTGTACAAGAGCTGGGTGGCACTTGGAAAGGAATGGCCCCTGTTATCCCTAGAGAAAACAGAGATGGCCAGTGATGGGAGTCCTTCCAGCTCACTGTGCACCTTCCCCTGTCCCTCTTCCTGACCCCAGGTACCCCAAGAAGCTAGTACAGACATACTCAGTGTTTCCTAACCAGGACGAGATGAGCGACGTGGTGGTCCAGCCCTACAATTCATTGCTCACACTCAAGAGGCTGACTCAGAATGCAGACTGTGTGGTGAGCATAGGAGGAAGGAGTGATGGGCTTGGGTTCGCCTCCTCAGATCAGGGAGACCCATGCACCTGCCCTTCCCAAGCCCCGGCCCAGAGAACAGAGGACCAACAAAGCCATATCTGGTAGCCCAAATTATGAAATAAGGACCTGACGCCAAGTTGCTTACAGTCCCCCACATATCCCCACTTAGCCCATTTAATATCTACTCATGTTTAAATTTTCAGCCCAAGA